TTTAAAGCCAATCTGAAAAAGTGATAGCGATAGTCTGAGAAGCAAATGGAATTCTTGACACCCTTCCAAAACAGCATGAAAATGACATTTTTCCCCATCCCTTGAGGCGGGAAGGAACAAATACAAGTATCCTTCAACAAAACAGATCACCTAAATGTAAAGCTGTTCAGCATCCACTCAGCTCCTCTTAGCAGGAGGAGGTTAGCCCTGGCTCAGGTCCCACAGAGACACTGCAAGGTCAGGCCAGCATCGGCGATGGCACGGACACAGCAAGGGAGGAATTGGACCTCAGCCATGCTGACTTCATCCCTTCAAGCCAATGTAAAATTACAGCTACTAATATGCCTTTAAAGCTACTACTTCTGCAGAGGGGGCAGAATTACTCATCACCAGCATTTCCAAGCCTTCCAAATTCTCTCCTTGGAGCAGCACTACTCATGAAAATTATAAGCTCAGTTTTATTGCCAAAATGAATGCAGCCACCTTGCCAGCATGCTGCAGCCCTTCTCAGTATTGAATTCATTTTGGGCATGAGTGTGCTTAGATTGTGCTGTAATCACAACTGATTTTACAAAAACCTGTATTGGTATTACTGATATTCTTCCCAATATTGGTACTACTGATATTACTCCATGCATTGGTACTATTGGAATTATTCCAAATCCTGGTATTACTGGTCTTCTTCCCAATATTGCTATTACTGGTCCAGGGTAATTATATTATTCCCAATATTGTTATTACCAATATTATTCCATTATGTCCCATGGACAATTGTTACACTGCAAAAAAATTATCAGAAGAAATACTGACCCTTAACAGAAAAAAACCCTAACAATTATTAGAGAACAAGAGAAACTTAACTGATATAAACCAGCATGACTTGGCTAAATTCAACAAGGTTAAGCAGACCCACAGCAGCCAAGCACATATCCAAAATTTCTTTTTTTTGACTTCAACAATAACTGGGCTCCCTAAGCATTAAAGATGATACTTTTGTGCAAGTAATTGCAAAGAATTAGACAACTATTACAACACCCAAAAATCTGAGGTGCTAACATAATTATTTAAGCAACTACTGCCTGAAAGATAGGGTACTATTTTCATACCTAGTCACAGGGGCCAGTGGCTGTTGCTATCATTTGCCAACTCTAATTGCCTAGAACCTAATTTTCATTTATACTGCAAGCTGAAATATGACTACACGCATGGTAACTCCCCCTCCCCTTCCAGCAGCATTCCTCAGAAATTTTCAGCTTCCTAGAAACATCACCTACAGGTCTGAACAAGGGAAACTGGCTGCAGAAGCTTAGGTGAAAAAGACAAACCTTTTGGGAATTCAGGAAAACATTATGTTTGCACAGAAAACATTAACTGCAACTTTTGCAAGGAAACAGTGTCCTTCAATAGTCACTTGGAAAATGTTCGCCCAGTTCTAACAATCCTCCCATGGGCATTGCCTCAGGGTATTGGATACAGCATATCATAGAATCACATAGGACAGGACCTTAAATCTCATCTCCTTCCACCCCCTGCCATGGGCAGGGACACCTTCCACAAGCCCAGGTTGCTCCAAGCCCCATCCAACCTGGCCTTGAACACTTCCAGGGATGGGGCAGCCACAGCTTCTCTGGGCAACCTGTGCCAGTGCCTCAGCACCCTCACAGGGAAGAAGTTCTTCTAATATCCAATCTAAACCTGCCTTCCTTCAGCTTAAGGTGATTTCCCCCCTGTCCTATCACTGCGGGCCCTTGCAAAATGTCCCTCTCCAGCCTTTCTGTAGGCCCCTTCAGGCACTGAAAGAATCAAGTGAAAATTTCTTTACGTTTTGTACCTACAGATCTTTTGCCCTAAGTTGCAGATGTGGTTTCAACAGACCCTGCCAGGCCACTGTGGCTCCAGGGCAAGTGCTGCAGCCTGTTCTGCTGATGCCCCAGCACTGGGATATGATGTTCCCACACAATCTCCCTGAGAGTGGCACCATGGTCTCTCCCTTCAGCAACAGCAACCAGTCCCATCCCAGCATCACTGGAGGTAGAAGGTTCCCCCCAGGGCTTTCCCAGGCTTCTGCAGCACACCCTTGCTAGGGAGAGCACAGGGTATCCTTCCTCTTCCCTCTCCTTTTCATTCTCCTTACAAGCAGGCACTGAGCCTGTTCTCAAAGAAGGATGCTCACAAGCTACTGAACCCTTGCTGCTCCTTTTGAAGGAGACAGAAGGATTTGTGGATACCAAGTAATGTTCTACTTAAAGAGCCAACAAAAAAGTGTTTTACTGTTGTGATACAGAAGGAAGAAGAGGAAGTTATGATACCATTTCCTATTGATTCCCATTTTTATAGTGGTATAAAGGCAACAGTCCCAAACACACTTTAACCTCTTAGTAGCAACCTGCAAATGAAAAATCATTAATGTAAAATGGGAAAAGAAGATTAAACAGACAACCACGCTGCTGACCAAGGGAAGCCAAGAAAACCAGGGGCATTACCTATTACACTTTTGGCAAACGAAGCTCTCTTGAGGGTTGCCAGACCCAAGTCTCCTATTTTCACAGATCCAGTTGGTCCAGTAATAAAAATATTGTCACATTTCAAGTCTCTGTGAATTATTGGTGGAGTTCTTGTGTGCAAGAAAAGAAGACCCTTCAGGATTTGCCGGCACCAACTCCGCAGGACTTTTGGTTTCATCACTTTAAATCTCTTCAGATACCTAGAGCACAAACATACACACAAGTGGGTATAAAGGAAATGAAAACACTTTATTAGAGATTCTTGGGGCTTTAACAGCTGAAACTCCATTCTGAATAAAAGACCCTTATTAGATGCCATAATAGCAGCACAGAAATATCCCAAAATTGAAAGAAATAGATCTTCCAAAGCAGGAATTAGAGCATTCATTTTGAGGCAGGAAGATAATAAGCATTTTTGGTGCAAATACAACCAAATATTTGCAAGTCTGATAGTTCAGCAATTCATTTCATGCAGAGAACAGCTTTAGAATATGTTCATGTATTCAAATCAGAAGAATACTGAGGTTCAGTTTTAACCACAAGGCTCTGACCTCTGTACGATGCACCTGCATCATTTTCCACTTACCTGAAGTGCTGGGTGGGAGGGGACAATTGGGAAAGATGTAGGGTCCATTAATACACTGGCAGAGGAGCACACTGGATAAGTATTGCTCCCATCAGGGCTGAAAATCTGTTCCAGAATTCATGCCAACTGCTTTATATCAACCTTAACAAGACTGTCAGTACCAGAAGCTATTAATTACTGGTGTTTAGGAGATAACCTAGAGCACCTTCTGCTTCTAAAAGGGATTCTACCATTCAAGTGCTACTCCATTTGAATTTCCTAACAAAACATGCAAATACAAGCACAACAGCAAGCACAAAACACACCCTGACAAATCCAAACGTCACAGGCGGAAGATGAAACACGCCAGAGAACAGCTTTGAGTTGCATAACTGAAACAGGGGAGCAGGCAGAGAGAGATGGAGGCCAAAATTCTGCCTGTCAAATCACTGCGGTTCAAACGCAGGGACAAATGACAGACACCAGAGAACAGCTCCATATTTTGCTTTTATCTGGAGATGGCTTTTTTCAGCATATGAAAGTAGGATTTTGCTATAAATTCCTGCCGCTATTCTTAGCCTCCTTGCCAGGAGCACAGTACTTACGTCTTCAGCGTTCCAGAGGTCATCAGCTCAGTAACCAGCACGATGCATCTTTTCCCTTTTGCACAGGATTCCCAGAAGTCATAAAACCTCACGATGTTTGGGTGTTGTAGACCTTTCAACATTTCTGCTTCCTCTTTAAATCTCTGCCTCTCTACTTTTGTGAGTTTTCTGTCCTATAAGCCAAAACAAGACATTATTAGTAGTGACAGACAAAAATAAAGGCACTGCATTGCCAGGGCATTCAGAATTTTACATTTGTTTTAGGCTTGTGTCAAGAGCAATTATAAAATCTTTTACGTAAGAGATGAGCAGTGTGTATGAACTAGGGCACTCGCTCTAAATCCAGTGTCAAGAATACAAAGAGATGCCTGTGCTATGCCATGCTCATGACAGCACTAGTATTTCAGGCACCATGAACACACCCGTGGTTTGATGCATCAACCCTCAGCTATTTCTTCACGTTTGGGTTTTGTGAGGCTTGTGATCCAAGGGATTAATACCCACAGGATTTCATTTCCAGGTATGAGCCCACAGCTGGTCCTGGGATGCTCCAGCAGGGACCACCAGCTGAGGTCCCTGCTCACCATACTGGACTCTACAGCCCACCCTGTTTATCTCAGGATAAATTAAAACCACACCACCTTCCAAAAAAAACCGCAAACACATCCATTTTTCTACTTGTTTGCTGTTCTGCCTAATTTACAGACTTTTCCCTTTTCGTGGCAAAGAAAGGGTTTCCAGCTGTCCTTCAGCCTCCTCCATAGGCTGCACACGCATGGAAATACTTAATCCTTTTAGATTAGAAATTTGAAAATGTCATGTTCTACTACTCTGGTTTTCCTAGAGAAATTTCAGGGCATTTCCCATAAGCTCCTGGCTGTGATGTTACCCTGCCCAGCACGCGCAGAGCCTCCCACTCCCTCCCACCACCCAGTAGAAGCTCCTGGGCTGCCTGGAGCTCACTGGCACACACAAACCTCCTATGGGCAGCTCCAGTATTCACTCCAACCTCTTTAGACGATAAAATAGAGCACAATGGGAGTTCCTGCCTATACCCCACCATCACACCTGCTCTGTCCCCCTGGCCAAAGCACTGCCCTACAAATGGGGCTTTTTGGATCTCTACAAGGTCCAATGCTGTAACTGCTCCTACTCACAGAGCCAAAGGCTCAACAATCACCAAGATTAACTAGTTCATATTTTAACCTCAGATATGTTCCTTTACTCAGGTCACTTAGGCACGTCTATATAACCTGTGCTCTTCTATACACAGAGTTAAATGGGAACGCAGTTGATTTGTAGCTAAGATGCAGAGGGATCAGTCACTGCCATTTCTACAGCCTGCCCTCACCCACACTCCCAAACAACTCAAGATGGGAATGAGAATTCCCATGGCTTCAAACAACTCAGCTTCACACAGAGACTTCCCCAGAGGAAACCCTGGGTTGAGACCATGCTTTGGCACTTCTTGGATGAGAGAAGCCCTGCTCCCAGCACTGTGCATGTGGGGGGAGTGTGTCCATTTACACCAGGGTTGCTGAGAGAGTTCTCTGTCTCCATGACATTTCACGGAACGCAGCAGCCATTGCAGTGGGCAGAGCAGGGTGCCCTGTGGGGACTGATGCCTGGGTCCATCGGGGCAGCCAGGAGAACCCGTGGGGGGAGCAGGCAGCAGCACACACAACGTCTGCAGCCCTGAGCCAGGCAGCAGTGCTGCTGCTCTGCACCAGCTGCCTTTTTCGTAACGTCAAAAAAAATGGAAAGAAAAAAAACCAAGAGGCTGTCTAATGAGCCAGGCCAAGAGAGCCCCAGAATTGCTCTCAAATCCATCACTTCTTCCCTACTGCTGAGTTTTCTCCTAATTTAGACCCTGTAGAATAAATCAGACATACTGCTATTAGGGAGGAGAAGGAGCAAGTGCCTGTGCGAGGCAGGAAGAGCAGAGTGGGGGCTGGCAGAGAAAGGAAAAAGTGGCCACATAGATCCAGCAGCTTTGCAAAAACCTTATAGTTTTTCAAAAGAAAAGTTATGCCATAGCCTTTGACTCTCATTTCCAGATTTCTGAGCACTGTGGGAACTTTTCCACTGCTACTTCAAGGGTAACTTTAAAAAATATCCTTCAAAAGACAATCATATTCTGTATATTCTACATATTACAAGCACAGAACATTTGGGCAACTGTGCTAATGTGATTCTAGAAGACAAATGCGTGTTTTAGCTATAACTGCAGTAGAAAGAACCTGGATTTTTTTCACCAGAATGATAGCTGAGCATTGTTCTCCGGCTGGAGAGGCAGGGCAAGGGTCAGGGCAGAGTGGTCGCTTCTGTGGGTCATGGTCTCCACTACAGGAGGGGTCTCTGGTGCCATAAGGGCTCAGTCAACCTCCTCCAAATTCCTCCTGGCTGAACCTGACACGAATCGCTGGCGAAAGCATAAGCTGATTCTGAAAAGGCTTAACAGTTGAAGTGTTTTCTACACTGAAGCAGAAAAAACACCTGTTTAACTGTATGACTCACACAGGGTTTAATCCAAACCCAGAAACCCTCACTGGGGTCACAGACTCTTATTCCCCATCATACAATCTACACAAGGTGAAATGTCCTCATGCTGAAGGTAAGGGTGTAAGCCTGAACCAACCTTTGGGCATTGAATCGTAAGATGGGGAACAGGATTCTTTGGAAAGGTCACGCTAAAGAAAGCTGATCATAGACTCATGGAATGCTTTGTGTTGGAAGGGACCTTAAAGATCATCTGGTTCCAAGCCCCTGCCATGGGCAGGGACACCTTCCACTAGCCCAGGTTGCTCCAAGCCCCACCCAACCTGGCTGAAATCCACTCAATGGGATTTAAGGCATCCTTTGCATAACTCAGCATCTGGGGGAATGATGCAAGTTTCCAGATTCACCCAAGGAGCCACAACCTCTGTGCTCTCTGACACAGCAGATGTTTCCAGCCTCTGAAAAGGAAGCTCAGGAATGCTGACTTACACACAACAGCCCTGGTCCTCCACATGCTTCCCACATGCAACAGCAGCATCACACCAAGTGACAAACCAGCTCACTGCTCAGTCTGCTACACTGCATTCATGGCAATACTGCTACCCTGGGCTTCCTCACACTGTGAGCCTTGAAATTTGGAAAACTTTTTTCTCAATGTAATTCAGGTGATATCAGTATCAGTTTGCAGGTATCGACACACTTCCCCTCTTTTTAAAGCATTCAGTCACACCTCTTGACTCTTTTCCTCCTTGCTGGGACATAGAGTCCACACTCAGGAGGTGACACTGTAATTCTGTTTCAAAGAACTGAAAGCTGCTCCGGTACACTACTCAGCATCAAGGTAAAATAAAATCCAAGCTTTTGAAGCCCAGAGCAGGCACAATGAGCTGGCTCAGCTTTGTCAGACAAACTGGAGATAAACAGGACCGAGCAAGATGTGAGACAGCTGCTCAGTTAGAGTTACTGCTAGGAAAGAATCTGTACATTTAACTTGTTTCTCCATCTTAATAAACTGCGAGGAATAGCTTTAACCCTCCACTGAGGCTCTGACATTTCATGCTCACAGCTCCTGGGCTCCTGTGTCCGTGCACTTACAGAGTGCTCCCGCGAGCACAGCCCACAGCAGCTAGTGCTCACAGTGCACCTCAGGCACAGCACCAGCCTGTCACACAGACAGCCCAGGGTGCTTGGGCTCCCTCATTTCACCCTTCTCGTAAGTAAATATCACTGATAAGGCTGGGCTTTTACAACAGATCCTTCACTATGACAGGCAATCTGGCAGACAGTTGTGAAACCAGTGATGAGAAGAGGTTCTACACCACAAGCTACCTTTTCCTCATTCCTTTTCCCAGTTTTTCTGTTGCAAATCAGATTATAACTGCCTGGTTGGTGTTACGCATCAAACCACTTGAAGCTATTAACTTCTTTTTGGAAGTATAAACAATTCTAAAAGAGCCGGAGGAGGGTAGATTTAGATTGGACATGAGGAAGTAATTCTTCTCTGTCAGGGTGGTAAGGCACTGGTACAGGTTGCATAGAAAAGCTGTGGACACCATATCCCTGGTTCAAGGCCAGGTTGGATGGGGCATGGAGCAACCTGGGCTAGTGGAAGGTGGTGGCATGACAAGACGTAGGAATGAGATGAGCTTTATGGTCCTTTCTATCCTAAATTCTATGAATTCCCAAGTAGCACTTGACAGCCTCACCCTTAGTAAATCCCACACCCGTTCAAACTGGAGTAACATGATGTTTGCAGCAGGACCTACAACAAAGTGAATATCCTAAAATGAAATTTCTGCTAATCCAACACACATATACTTTCTGCTTCTCCTGCTCCTCCCAGGCAGGGTGAAAAAATGCCTCTCTTTGTTAATATAACATTTTATCCCTTCATTAAGTTCCTTAGTGGGGAACAACAGCAAAGACAGGAACTAGTAAGTAAATGTGTTAACAAAAGGAAAGGGAAAGCTTACAGCTTCTGGAATTGCACCCAAATTAACAGCAGGAACATGTTCTGTTAGTCATCCCCAAGCATCATTTCCTCCAGGTTGCAGCATATGGGCTCTGACTAAGGCTATCAAAGTTATACAAGCAGACGACTGGCTTTCACTTGAGGCTTCAGAAGATTTCCAAGACTAGCAAATGAGGTCCATTTTCTTGCCTAATTCCTTGTGATGGGCAAAGATATTTGGGAAGCAGCTACCTCCTCCCCCCATGGGGAAAGTGGATCTCAAAAATGTGACCACACAATTTTTTTTGTCACATAGCAATGCCTAGAACCATGCAGGAACAGGGTTTTGGAGCATGGCTGTTACCAGTTAACAGTTGTGCTGCTTTGCAGTTTCACAGTGTTTCTTTAATTTCCTCCTTTTAAAGTCTTGAATTTTCACTAATGTTAAAAAAATTTAAACTACTTGAAACACTTGGATATCTTACCTAGATTTCTTGGCCTAAGGACTTCTCTGTCCAGCTAGCCTGTAAGTACTGTTTTGTCAGGTTTTTATATTGCTTTTTAATTTTTTCTTTAATAGTTAAACTGACATAGCTGTGTTTATTGATGGCTATTTTTGTCTCATTATGGACAGATCAAGGCCTGGCTGGTGAGTCAAGTAGGAGCACTAGGTCAGCAAATGAGGGCAGGGCTCACCTCTGTCACACAGAAGCTGTAACATCC